GGTTGAACAAGTGGTTCTTCAAATAGTTCTTCAGACAGTTGCGTTGAAAACGTGCTTTTCAAAGAAACGTCTCACAGACGCAACACCATCTCTCCACAATTTCAACTGCACAACGGACTCACTTGCCTACACCGAATAACAAAGGTCTTCCCTAATACCGTACGAAGTATTCGGCGATTCTCTTGCGTACTGCAATGTGAGCACAGCCTCTCGATATTCATCATCGGATGAGATCGTTTATTTGTCATATAGCGCGACATACGTTCGTGCTGCAACGATCTTTTGCATAACTTAAGCTTCTGTTCTCGATTTATATTTATTTATCTTTAATTACTAATGTTGCGATATCAAATAATGTATATTGTTACACGTCAGATGCCATTGAAAAGGATCGCGTAGGTTGATCGAAACGCTTGACTTGTTCAACTGCACGTTAAATCTGATATTATATCCGCACCCAACACCTAGCGTTTGGCTCTTATTGCCTCGCTATGCCTATTGACTTAAACGTTTATCAACGGAGCCCTAATATTTACTAAGTTAATAACAGGATTTAGAGGTATCGACGGACAATTTCTTTTGGAAAATGCAAAATGATTCCCGGGCAGTTAAACACATGGACATGCTATCCGATTTGGATGCTGAAGATCGAATATCCGAATGCACATACATGTATGTTTGCGATTTATTATTTTAAATAACGGGAGTTGTTGAGCAACTCTCTCGAATCGAAAAATACCCGTTCTAATGCGATTAATATATCGGATTGTACTTCCCCTTTCATGATTTATGCACCTTGCGGTGATACGATTAAAAGTTTTGCTACGCAGCTAGGAAAAGGATTACAAACCGCCGCGCCGCCCCGGAATTAATATCGGTTTTCGATTCCCGGCTATCATGCATCTGCGATCGCAGCGAGAGATCGATGTTATTCTAGACTTCAACCCGTTCGCGTGCGCTCGCGAGCGCGGCGCGCGCGCGACATCGTACATTAATAAAAGGTGATAATAACGTATTAAACTAAGTGGACCAACGTCTCAAAGCCACATATGGAAATTCTAAAAAAGGGTCGTAGCATAGGGAGACCCGCTTGAAAGTGTTATAAGTGCATCGCGTTAACCAATCGGCCGATCGATCGTCCCTTGTTGATCCCTTTCGCGAAAGGCTATTTACACGATTGAAGCGACGACGCGCGGAAAAGCCGACGATTGTCGAGATAAGGCACACTTGGCTTCAATGTGTACCGTTAGATTAAGTACATTTACGAAAATTGGCAGATACGCGAGCGTTGAAAGATGAAAGGTTTAAGTAGAATTTATCGAACGTTGACAATGTGGTAGATAAAAGGGAACAAGAAAGTTATTAAAACTTATAAATTTAACAAATTTTAATACGTTCGGCGTACGTATGTATCTTTAGAGGTTTTAGATTTCAAATTAAGAAAATCGTATATTATAACACGCGTTATATATCCTAAACTTACAAAATGAAAACTATGGGTGTTAGAGGTAAAAGTTTCATAAATTTTTGGGTGTAAAATTGTACGTCGCTCCCTCAGCTTATTTCACCAATTCAACACCGTATTACCTTTAATTGTAGGTGACATTAAATTTGGATATATTTTATCGTGTGTTGTACGATACACAATTTTACACGTAGTGTATAATAAAAATATATTATTCCGTCATGATCGTGCCTAAGTTTGCGGGACGACGTTGGGGCTTCCGCTTCAATCGGAGAAATGCATTATCGGTGCAAGTTACGAGTGTCATGACTTGCAAATCTCTCAGCGATGTAACAAAGATTAATGCACTTAAGCGCGAAACGTGTTGCGATCGGACAGGCCGATCGGTTAATCGTTAATAGGCGTAGATAGAAAAATATCGATATCAGCTTGAACTACGTAACACGTACCACTGTCTAAAAGAATTAAACGTACGAAATATTTCCATAAATCATATACATATACATAAATATATAAATAAATACATATATATATATATATATATACGTATGTATATATATAATATTCGTATTTATATACACGAGGCACTGTGCAAACTTCTTTTTCTAGTACGTTTTAAACTACCATTTTTTATTCTCACGAGACGCTACCTTTTTTATATTTTTACTAAAGTACGAAACGATGCGTGGTGTGTACACAGTGTCGTTTAAACGCATCGCGTAGACATCTCGACTAGAAGAAAGTCATATTCAGGACACTAGGAACTAGAAGTATATTGTTATAAAAGGACTAGTCGTACTCTGGCCGAATTTCGTTTTCAAATTCTTCCTGTAATGCCGAAATGCCAGATGTGCATCGTCTGGTTTGTATGAACAATGCTTGCCCCTCGTACGTAATAGTATTACCAGCTAATTAAGCTATTCGCTGTCATTTTTTTTTTCAAGACACTCAACCGTATGAATAGAATTAAACGAATGAATTAAATATTCCCGTCAACAGTATTGTCGGCGATGTGTAAACTCTAAGCGGTTTAATTTATAAAACCGATACATGCCCGCTTCGAAGGCGTACACACACGCGAAAACATAATAGATACGCCGGATTGCGTATGGGATGCAATTCGGAGAGCGATATTCCACGACAATTGTGTACAGAACACTGCAGCGAGTTATTGAAATGTTGGGAAAATAAAATTTACATTCTCCAATCAACGAAATTCATTTTATTTTAATTTTCTGTATTCCGTTTTACGACAATGCAGAATGAGATGTTGATAATTCATATAAAGGCACCGTTTAGCAAAGCCAGCCTGGTGTAAATGGTCCTCTGGCAAAAAAGAATAATTAGGTGTAAGAACCGCATTCGTTTCTTCCAAGTAAAAACGAAATAACATATATAACCACCTTGCAGTCGTATCCCTCACATAAAGGTCCCGTTTTCCTAATGGTTGTAATAATTAATCTTTCGAGCGCACGTAAAGGTGCCTTTAAGTTCCGCGTTTCACGCGTTGGCTTGGTTCACTTTTGTCTCCGCCTCTTAGAATATTAATGGCTCTTCCCAGAGACAAAGACACGGAGACGATACGACGAACTTTTAAAGCGACTAATGTCTCAACTTTTCTCAAATGAGCGATGCGCCTTTGCATTCGTTTTTTTTTCCTACTCACGACCATACGCGTTTTCGTTGGAACGACCACGCGAGTAAGAGTATGTTACATGACTCGGCGACTCGCGCTGTACATTTGAAGGCCCAGTCATCGCACATAAATCATGTAAATCATGACGAACGATATTCTGTCAGCGTCAGCGGATAATGATAACATCGTTCCAGTTAATATCGCTATTGGTTCACCCCCTTTTTTTTTAGTCACTGTCTCGTGCAAAAATAATGGTCATTCCGTTTCTGTCGATGCTAACGTTTTGTAAGTGTTCGAGACACGTTGCCGATATCCGATAGATTTGCAATGCGGCTCAAGTTACTACTTTTCGGAATGCGGACGAATTATTTGACAGCCGACGCGTCCGATATATAAAGTTTTCGCTGTTCTGTCGGCTGATACCGTCTCCTTTTCTATCGTTAAGTGTGCGAGTCTACAGCTTCGATATTGCGATTGCCGATGTGCGTGCGATAATTAGCCGCGACGTCCATGTCTTTTGCTCACTCGGCACAGCTGCAGCAGGTAGTGTAAATATATTACATATATATATAGATATATATATACATATATTTTAGTGTGCGTGTGCCTACTTCGTCTTATAGTTTGATACTGTTGTATATACGCGAACTGTGTGTACCTCGAGTTACTGTAAAACACTTTAACTGTCAATTATATGGAGTTTTACGATATACACAAAACTTCGGCCAGCGTAAATTACATACCGTAGGCATATACATACATATTAATACATGTACGTGTGAGTACGTAAGTATCGTCGGTATATAAATGTGGGATGACGGCCTGCGCATAATTCTAAATTAGGTACATTCGAAGTAAGGCCCGTACGTGTGCGATTTGTCGAAGGTGAGAGTTGTGGCTTGATTCTAGGGAAAGGGTAACTTCTAAGGGTATCGAGGCGGGTAAAATACTGTCTCGTGCGTTAATTAAATCCTAGGGCACACTCGACAAAATCGGTCCCTAGAACGCTAGTTTCGCAGGGCCTATTCTGTACTTTGGATCCTTTCCGCGTCTTGAAACGCGTATATATCACAAGGTATTGTGTGAGTACAAATTGTACATTGATATTTCTTGCTCGTAGCGTCCGATTGCTTTTTGTTTAGAGTAAAAGCTGGTTTTTTGGTGGCGCGGGGGGGGGGGGGGGAGGAGGCGAGGAGTCGGATGAAATCGCTAGACTCCGCCTCTGATACGATATAAATCCATTACGGCCAGACACTTACCGTCGCGCAACAAAGTATTTGTATCTTTACAAATCCATCTCCCGGCTTGTCTCTTTAAAAGTTTTACGGAGAGATCGCTGCGCTTTTCAGGAGACCTTACTCTTGCGTTGTAAAGAAGTTATTCCGAAATAGTATTTTACTTGTTGACGATTATACGTATGTAACCATTCGCCGTAACTCAAATATAGAGTTGATATTAAACGAATTATTAAATCAAATGGTGATTACGATGTTTCAAACGACGTTGTCTTATTAATGCGCTTGGTCCTTTCGTAGCTCGGCGTGCGTTCCTTAATTTCCAATCGCCGGCCGAGGTAAGTCTTAGGGTGCGTTCGCTTCGTTTTATCTAAATAATCCGATACATTTATTTACAATATAAAACGATTACATATACAGATATAAATACATATAAATAACGCATACGAACAATGAACGTATTGATTGTATCGTTAACTTCGCCCGCGTTACGTTATGTAATATGTGTGCTTTAGGACATTGTATGAATGCATTTTTTTTTTGTAATTTCTCGGATTCGATTTTCTCTGCGTACAAATTTTATTCTTAATAATTAATTTCTAATAATTGATTGGCAAAGTAATATTATTTTTAAAAAACGTAATAATTATAACGCGTATTTCTAAAATTTTTAATCACGTACAAAGACATAAAGCTAATATACATATATCGGCATACAAACTTATAAATACAAGATTAGGCAGGATGGAATCTTGATGAAAAATTTTTTTATAACAATTCAATTGTAACGAATCAATTCAGTATGCGACAGCGTTTTCGCGCTGATTATTTTCAATCCCTAAAAAGTACGAGGCTTTTACAAAACTCGGAGAAACCGTGTTATACTTTATATTATAACAATAATTTTTGCTATATCTTTCGATAATCTTTTATGACCACTTGGACATATAAGTCCCACTTATAAAATTTAAAAAGACTTAATGATAGCATGCATTTATTGGAAAAAGCCATTATATCAAGACAAACTAACAAAAACCCAAAGCATCGGTCACGAAGGGGTTAAAGTATCGCTTCATAGAAAATTCGAAGCCGACTTTCTGCCCAGGGGATAGCTGAAAGTTCTATGCTACGCATTCATATTTACAATATATCTCGTAGCGTTCGTTAGTTTCTTTATTCCGATGTCACGAAAAGTGACGACGAGAAGTGATTTAGGGAATGATCTCTTAAATAAATTACGCAATGGGATGATTCGCATGCTTACACTAATAAGGCGTTACCAATGATGTTATATTGCCTAATTCGTGAAATTTACTTTTGGTATCTTCTCTTTTATGAATAACCTAACGCAAAGATATATAAAAAGAACGTATACGAAGGCTATTGCTACAGGACACGAGTAGGTCGTATAATTTGCTTTTTTACAGATATTGCACACGCAATGTCCTGCCGAGCTTTCTCTCCCAGAACGAGAAAAAGCACGACTGCCACCGTCAGTTGCATCGAGCAGCAGCGCTTTTTCCAGACCCTTCTTGCTGTGACGCTTTAATCATTATCCCTTTGTTTTTCTAATATCTATAGGAAAGTACGTTCGAAATGGTTGTGCGCTAGAAGCGCTTGACGCGCCTCCGGCGTTCTAACTTTTTACGACGTAAATGACAGCGCGATGACAATAATTTAGAAGCGGAATTAAGTACGTAAGACTACGGTACATGCGAAGTATTCAAGTTCCTCCAGTCTCTCGAAACTTTCTACGTTTAGCTAGAAGGCCGGTAATAGAACGCCTCGAGAAATCTGCAGGTCTGTTTTCCCGCATAATGTTGTTTTCTTTTCAAATGTAAAATCTTGTACGAAACCATCTATCACCGAAAGCAAATCCTGGATGTCTCACGAAGAGAGCTACGGTCTCCCCTTGCTCCTCGAAGCACAGAATTGTCGATCGCGTGCGCGTCACGACTTGATGACAGTTCGCTCGCGGCAGAACGATTTACCCTGAGAGTCGTTAGTTCTTCTTCGAGAGCTCTTGGAAGAAGGCCTCGATGGGCAGCGTCGGCTCGTCCGTGGTGATCTTGAACTGCGACGAGACGAGCCTGCTCTCCGGCGAGACCGCCTTGAACATGCCCGGCTTGTCGTACAGAGCGGAGGCGGAGCTCGTCAGGTCCGCCACGCTCTGCGACGCCTTGGCGAACAATTCCTCCTCGTCGGATCGCACGTCGAACTTGGTCGTGGCCTCTGATTCTCCGGCCTCCCGTGTCTCGTCGCCCTCGCTTACGGCGGTCGCGGGGACTTCCGGCTCCTCGACTCGACTCGTCTGCTCGGTCTCGTCCGCCGAGGTCCGTCCGCGATTGTCCTCGGCCGAGGCCGTGTCGGTCGGTGCCGCCGCTCTCGTCTCTTCGTTCCGCGAAGCTGTCTCCCCTTGGTTTTTGCTCTCCTGCACGCCGAGTTTCACCGGATGGCCGTCGAGCGACGCGGCCTCCCCCTTCTCGCTGATGATCTCGTTGCCTACGAGGCGACTGGTCGACGAAGAGGTTGAATAGAAACTGGTTTCCTCGGCGGCCATCTCCGTAGGGTCCTCCTGCCGCTTGCTGTCCGGATACGCCGTGGCCGCGTTGCTCTCCTTGTGCAGCCTGCTCTTCATGACCGGCCGCCTGCGTATCGATGACGAGTACACGTTCTCGGGTCGCACCGAACTCTGCCTGGCGTTCGCCTCGCCGTTAATTTGCGATCGTGTGGGACTGGCCGTGGTAGAGGCGATTCTACTTCGATAAACGTTTCCGCTGATCGGCCGCCTCTTCGGCACGAATCTGTTGTTCTTTTCGGTCGTGGAAGATACGCTCTCCTCCGAGTATCGCTCGTGGTCTTTCGCGGCCGCAGGCGACGACGTAGTAGTCCGGTAGTTCACCCGGGAAACGTATTTGTATCTACCAGTAGTCTCGCGGACGGCATCGCTCGCCAATTGCGCCTGTTGGCTCTTCGCACTCGACGTCCTCTGTCTGGTATGAGGGCCGCGCGTCAAGGCTTCGCCGGATGGTGTCGGTGCCACCTCCGTCGTGGACAGTCTGTTCTTGTAATCCATGCGGCTCTTGTAATCCTTGATGCTGAAGCGCGGTCGGGTGGCGTTGCCGTATCTTAACGGGCGGATCTTGTGAGATCTCGACGTAGAGGTGGCGACCTGAGGGGGCTGCGTCGCCGGTTGCGGGGTAGTCGTCGTCGTCGTCGTTGTCGTCGTCGTCGTCGTCGCCGTTGTCGCGGTTACCGACCCGTCCGTTGTCGCGCGGTCGTAATAATTACCGTCGGTCTTCACGTAGAGATCCTCCAGCGGTATGCTAGTAACGACGTTCACGTTTTGCTGACGAGTATCGGCGTTATAGTCCTCGACCTTGCCGCGGCTGATCTCCGCGAGATATTCCGGCAGTTGTTCCGGCACGGCGCTGTCCTCGCGATGATCCTCGCGTTGATCCTCGCGGTATCCCTCATTCTGTCGCGAGGCATAATCGTAATACTGATTGACCGGCTGGCTCGTTTCGTACGAAACGCTCGGCTGATTCGTCGCGAACTGGTCGTTCTCGTTGTAGCTCGGCGCGGGCTCCGTGGTCTGCCCGTAAGAATTTAGGGAGGCGTACGCATTCTCCGTGACGAGATGCGCATCGTACGACTCGTCCTGGCTCACTTTCGTCCGATGACTCGGTCGTTTTCTTACGTTACCCCTCCTCTCCGTTACCGCGTCCTCGTTGTAGCTGGCCTGCGTGGGCTTTATTCGCCTTCTTCGCGAGGAATCGTGCTGATTGTGCTGCACGTCCTCCCTGTTGTACTTGAGGAAGTCCTCCTCCGGGTAAGACGTCGTGATGGACTCCTGCGTGGTCGTCGCGGGCTTCCGTCGTCGAGCCGGCGCGGCCGGCCGACGAGTTCTCGATCTCTGCGTCGAGATCGTTGGCGGGGTTTGCACTTCCGGTGCCGCCGTCGTCTGAATCGGCACTTCCTCCGCGTATAGGGTCAAGGGAATGGCGGTTTCCGGCGGCTGGCTCGGCGGCTCCGTCGCCGAGTGCTCGTGCGCAACCGTCGCCGGCTTTTTGCGGCGTTGCGGGTCGCGGGACGGTTTCTGTGGACGGTACGGCCGTGTTTCGGTTTGAGGCTCGCGATAATTGACCTGTTGCTCCTGATACCCGGTCTGGTAGTGCTGCTGGTATTGATAATTCTGGTTCACCTGATTCTCCGGGATCTGGGGTACCTACGATTGACAATTTAGAAGACGTTTTTTTATACTCTGCGGCGAACCGAATAGCTAATAGAGTTATCGAACGTTTGATTGGACAGTGTTGATTTAAATAAGAAAATATTGGTTTTTTTTCGCTGAAAGAATCGTATGACTTATAGCGAGTTCGGTTGCTTGCACTAGTGCACACTGAGTGTACACTAAGGCTTGTTTACAGTTCAATTGTTATATTTAAAGATGTCTTAAATATCTCTGGAAATATTTCGGAGCCAGTAAAATGATCTGTATAGCATCCATGCGGATCACTTTTTGGCTAAATACTTTTTGAACGTGTATCTAGGGCAAAGTTAAATGTAAAAATTGACCGTAAACAGGCTTTAGTGTGCACCCAGTGCGCGCTGGTGCGAGCCATCGAATTCGCTATTAGTATTTCGTTTCGTTTAATTTTCATGATATTAATTCATTACTTAATCAAAGCGGCAGAGTGAGTGATGAATTATAAAATGGGATGTTACCTGAGGCTGGAGTCTCAGCTGTTCCACGTTGTAAATACCAGGCTCCGACACGAGAATATTGCCATTTGTAGTGACCTGCGGCTCGAACTGCGCCAATTGAATCGCGTACGGCGTCTCGCCCGAGATCTTGACGATCTCCTGCGACTGATTCTTCGCGGATTCCGCGGCAAGTCTTGCCGCCTCTTCCTCCTCTTTCTCCTGTTGCGTAAGTTGATCAAGCTCCTTCTGCTGTTTCGTCAGCTCCTCTTGCTGCTGCCGTTCGAGCTCCAGTTTCTGTTGACGGTCCTGTTCCGCCAGTCTCTGCCGATCGCGCAGCAGCAATTGCTGCTGCAGCAGAAACTGTTGCTCGTTGAAGTGCTTGAGAGAGATGCTCTCCGGTGTCTCGTAACCCGGTATCGGCGTCGGTTGGTAAACCTCAACAGGCTCGAAGGAGCTTTGCGGTCTATGGTACACGATCTTCGGACCCTGCGTGATTTGATTCTGGTTTACAACCTCTTGACTGAACTTGCCCGGTGGATTCTCCTTCGGCAGAACTTCGTTAATGTCGGACGCGTACTTGCTCTTCGGCCACGTGGGCGGCGTAAGTTCCTGATGCTCCGCAACGTAATAAGTGCTCGTGGTTCTGGGGTTCGGCAATTCGGTCTGCCCGCCTTTTTCCTGCTTGTTACGCGTGCCCGCGCTCGGACGTTTATTATAGTGATCCTGAGCCGCGTCGTTAGTCTGGCCGAATTTGTTGGGGTTCCGCGTGACGGCGGTGGTGGACGGTGGCGTTGACGAGGGCGAGTAGATCGCGGGCGGCAGCAGAGTCTCGTAGGGCAACGAGGGCCGGAAGCTGTACGCGTTGTACGAGCCGGGTGGCGTCACGTAACTGATCTCGTGGCTCTCGTGCACCAGGAAGGCCGGGTCTCGCTCGTAGGTGGACTTGTAATGATTCGGGGGATGGTTCACCTGGCTGTAGAAATTGCCGCTGCTCGCTGAGTTTAGCACCTGCGCGTGAGACTGGGCCTGGTATCTGTCGTAGGCGTCGCCGTCGTTGCCGCTGATCTTCTGCTTGCCGAAATCGACCGGGATCTCCGCGCCGGGCGGCTGGAAGTACGGTTTCGCGCTGTTGGCGACCTTCAGGGACTCGAACTCGGGAACTCGGGATTTTTCCGGCTGGCGTGGCGACTGCGGCTGCAGCTGCGGCGGCTGCAGCGCCTGCGGCATGGCGAACGGCGGAACGTAAGGGCGATTGCTCGACAAGCCCTTGATGAAATAGGTCGCCGCGCGTACGCTATCCAGTGGCTGCTGATGGACGTTCTGCGCCGCGACGTAGGCCTGCGGCGGCTGCCTCGGCAAGTAGCCAGGGGTTTCGCGCACGATCGGCTTGCGGTGTTGGTTCACCTCGAAACGATACGCGTCCTTGGGCGGCGGTATCAGGAACGTGTACTCCCGGGTCTCCGTGGCCACGTGTTTGCTCGGCGTCTTGGTTTCGCCACGCGCTTTCGTCGCCGCGTGCCCAAACACCGTGAAACTACCGAGTATACTAGGCGGACTGTACTCGTGGACCGGCGGTTTGCCCTTTCGCAGCGGCTTCAGTTTCTCCGAAGTCGCCATGTGCTCCTGAAACTTGCTCAGGACGGGGTGAACCTGGACGTTCTTCTCTAGGTGGCTCGACGGCGACACGTTAGTGCCGATCGTTTCCTCGTAGGAATTGGTCAGAGGTCGCCATCCATTCGCGATCATCGACGATCGTGTTGGTGGCTGCGGATCAAAGTTTGAGCTCTAGTTGTCGAAACGGAGATTTCAGAATATACGTATCGAATATATTCGGGCGTCTAATCGTTGCGAAATTAAATACCGAGGATAATCAAGTCGAGAAAATTTGCGCGTGTTCATCTGATTTTCCTAACTTGGAACAATGTTACACATATCTTAAAGAATACCTTTCTTTCGTATAATTAATTCTCTTTACTTTCTTAATTCTATTGTATTTATTCTGTAACGAAAAACTTTCGGCTAATGATCCATTAGACTGGTATGTCGCGACGGAGGCACTTATGTAGCCTTGTAAAGCTTTCGTGTACATTCCCTGCACGGTGCATCAAACACAACTTTCATTCGCGCCATAACGACGACAACAATGGTAACGCGATACTCGAACTTCCTGGAGAGGTTAATGGAATGGTTCCTGTTCCAGTTTCACCGCGACCGAGGTCCGAGAAAATCGTAAGTGAGACTGTTCTTCCCCGCCATCGCATCAGCGGCAAGTGGCGGTCTGTGTAATCAGAAAATAAGTGTGTGCGATGCTTTAGGGGCACGCGATTTCCGAATTACTTTTCCCAAGCCCGTTCTTGCAGTGGCGATAAACTACGAATTTTATTGGCGCGCCACTAATACTTTTAATAACGATGCGAAATCGAATTTAGAGCCGCGGAATATTCCGCCGGCGAATAACGAACGTGCGTGCGCCCTGCGACGCTCGTAAAGGTAATCGTCCTCGGCAGAGCGAACTATCTTCCAGCGATATCCCAACTTCCGTTTCCCCAGCAGTAAATCAGGATCCTCACGTACTTCCGATTGTCATAAAACGTCAATGAAATAAAAACGGAGAGAACTCGATATGAAATAAAAAACGTGACTAGTTTTATGGCATAAAATTGCGCTAATATCAACTTCAATAACTTTATTGCGTACATACAAGATTGGTTTACGATCGTTCAGATAATTATAGGGAACATGAATGAAAAAGAGATATTCGCGTAAGATAAACCGCTACTGTGTTGCCCGTAGTAAAAAATAAGATGATTAGAGCACAAGGTGGCTGGACCGTAAAACAATGAGATGAGCAAAATAAAAAAGAAATAGAAAAATCGCATAAGAAAACGTGAAATAGATATGAAATAGAACGTAAACAGAATCCAAATAAGAAAGACTGTATGTACAATATTGATTGAGTACATAAAGAACGAGATTCGGATAGCGGTGGAGCGAAAAGAGAAGAACCAAGAAAATTTAATGTCAGAGCGAATTAAAATATTTAAAAGCAATTTTTCGTTACGAAGGACTTCAAAGAATGCTATTATTGTCGTAACTTTCTGCTCGGCATTTTAAATACCTTGGCTGTTAAACGTTGGTGCTAAGGAAAGTGTAAGAGTAAGCTATGTGGATGCGAAAATGTAGTACTGTTTACAATTACTGATAAATAACGATAATAATGTAGGACAGAAATATTTTATATTGGTCGCACTTACGGTTTTAATGTCCGAACGATCTATCGACACGGTAATCGCTCCTATGGCGACGAACAGCCACGCCGTCAGAACACCTGTACGATTCGAGTAAAATAAATAAAAAATCGTACACACCCTGGTAGAAATGTCATGCATTGTTTGAGCAGTTGCTAGACAGTTGTACTAACTTTTGTCTAGTAACTGAGAAGACTACTTGAAATCCCAATCAAGACGTTTAACGTTTTTCTTACGGTTACCGCACATAAAAGATGCGCAAAATCTGAACCCAATTGCTGAACAAGAACAAGACAATAAGTACTTTAATAAATAAATGATAATCTATTCATATTAGACAAAATAGCCGGGCAAATGTCTAAGCTGCATATATTTTTACCAGGAAACCTGTTTCAGCACTGATAAATAAAACTGTATCAAATTCTTGTCCATTTTCTACGCAGTATTGTTCTACGCAGTAGAACTAATAAAAATGCAGTAATACTAGACACACTGGGAGGGTGTCTAGAGAAACTGCATACATTTCTACCAGGGCACATGTGCCGAATAGAAGATTCTGTGGGGTTGGACTAGTGGAAAGTACACTTACAATTCAATAATAATATTGACGACATCGTGGCAGTCTATGAGGTCATTTACGAGAATTCTGCAACAAGAATGGCAATTATCAATGGACATTATTTCTGACGTGTCTTACTTAAAACATTCCTAACAATAAATAAACGTTTAATAGATGCGAGATAATGCATTGCATTGGTAGAAAGTAAAAATGTCTGCACTTAAAATAAAGATCTCTTGTGTTTGAAATAAAGATCTCGATTTACGACACGAAACTGCTACTTTCCGCGGGATAGAATCGGCTTCACGAAAAATGGCATTTATCAACATCCGAGATATAAGTAGGGCGGCCCATACTTCATCACGCATCAAGGCGAATTAACTATTAAAACATGAGCACGAGAAAAGTGTAACGTATCGCGCAGAGAAAGGAAGGATATAGAAAGCGTCGTGCATCTATCATAATCTCGCGAATCGTTTCCGTGCTGTTTTCTCATTTTTAAATCGCGGTAATAGCGAAATCCATGAAGGAGGGAGGATTTCTCTTTTTACGAGCATTTGCCGTGATACGCAGATGCCTTTTGTACGGCGCGCGCTTTTCTGAAAAGTATACGTGAAACGCGCGCGCGCGGGCCCGATTTCCGTAATTTTGAATTACTCGGGTGCTCAGTGTTGACTCGCTCCCGCGAGTGCGCGAAAAAGACGCGGGAGAATATCGCGCGGGGATATCGGGATATTACAAAGTCGTTAGTAAACGTTAATATTCATGAGGGGTAGCGCGGTAAATTGCTAACTGCCCCATTATTACCGCAAATGTTTGACGTAACGGCCGAGGCTACCGCGGATTATGAAATTGCAACGGAAATTTAGATACAGTTATGGCGATATTGCTTATTAAATCTTTCGCAAGCGTACGTGTATAACGAGGATATAACAGAGAAATAAATAAACGGGAATGGCGAAAATTCTATGAAGTGGTAAGCTCGATGCGTACAACGAGGACCCTCGCAACTGGTGTTTTGTGCATAATAAAAAGGAGGCACAATCCGCGTTATGTAAAATAGTAAAAGCTAGGCGCGGGAAATTTGTAATGCAAAAAGCACGCCACTTTCTCTTCATTCATTAAGCGTCGGGGGGTGCGCACGAATTGCGCTGACTTTTGCATAGGCGTCTCTCCCGCTGCCGCCACGTGGCAGAAAATCTCAGGCGGGAGCGGGTAAAAGTTGCGCGATATTTAGTGAGGCGTGTCGCGCGAGCGCGTGTCGCTCTCACTCGATCGAAATTTCATTTAGTCGATAGCCGCACGTTAATAACGAGGCCCTAGAAATTAGTTCGCGCAGTATCGCCGCGGCAATTCAATTGGCTGGCGCAAAGCCATCGTCGCCCGTCGATTTCGATGTAATTATAAACCCGCGTTGAGCGATACGATCGCGCCCGGCCGTACGAAAATTGCACGGGAACGATATTTCTTCTATCTCGCGCAATAATCGACCGGATACTCGATTTCGCGCGCACGCGGTTAATTATGCGAGGCCGTAATTTGTAATTACATGCATATTTCCACTAAACGTTTGTGCACGGCTCTGAATGGTCATTTGGATACGTTTTTTTTTTTACAATTTATACAATTAACACTTACCTAAGCTATTCATTCGACCGAAATATACAGAGGAATGTCCTCTGTTACACTAGAGATAGGATTCTAATATGAGACAGCAGGTTTTCCACACCCAAATTCTTTTACGATTACACGATCTAACAGTGAATTGTCCACTAAACGGACTTCTCTCCGAGGACAATAAATTGATGAAATCAACTGATGACGCCTGTTAATTTAACAGAAACCCCGCTGTCCCACATTGGGCTCCTATCTCGTAATAGGGGACTTTTCCCTATGTTTTTCTAATCTGCCGTTCGTTTTAGAATCCAATTGTTTTTAGCAAGGTTTGTATTTTAGAAATTCTAAAAATAACATTCGGATCTGTGCACGCGATGGATAACTTATTTTCTTCATATTTTAAAGATAAAGTTCCTTAGATTGTCTATTTGCTTATTTAAAAATAGCTAGAGGCGCGCTTTATTTCTCTCTCCTTTGTTTGAGAAACGGTGTCACAGGTGGGAGATAAAAACAATCCGTCGATTATTGCGCCTGCTGGTGTCGTTTGGTGTTGCCACCTTCGCGGTCAGAAGCAGCTGCTATACGAGAAATCGATAGAGCCCGGTTGCATTTAAATTTCAAGCCGGTTTGCGGATGAATTAATTATAAATGTCGCTGTCTAAGCCTCCCGAAGGAGTTGATGCATTTCATGACTGGCATGATGAATGGAGTTGGGGCGTTATAAGCCGGCGCGCAGTTTGACTAGGCCCTCATTTTTCGCTGCCGATTGCCTCGTAAATTCAATTTATTATCACGCGAACGCGAGTGGAGGGAACACTCTGGACTATTTCGCGTTATTAAATAAAGAGTTGGATTCAGATGGAATTTTTCAACTGTGAGGAGGCGTCTGAGATATTCAGTTCTTGAAAGGTTTGACGATGAATGACAGTAACGTTGCTGCTGCTACACGTGGCAGGCCGTGCATTAACGTGAAACGAAGTTCAAGTCGAGTGAGAATATTCATTTTTCTTCGTTATGTGTGCATTTGTTCGAGTTGAAATTATTCAAGGATTTTTCCCCCTTTCTGCATAACCTGTTTACGAGTTGATTGCAATTGCGAGAGAACTCGCAAAGCTATTGCCTTTGATTTTTATGATTATACACGCATGGTTTGCTCGACTGCCGTCGAGCGTAATGTGAACTAAAGTACAATACAAACTGAACTAGTGAATTTTAATCGGTACAGTTAGCAGTTTATAAATAAGTTCTAACACGAGGTAGCAGGTTTTCACTGTCAAAATTTAATCACAAATCTTTATTCACGACGATTACACGATCTAACAATGAATTTTCCACCGAACAGATTTCACTGTTAATTTAGCACAAATCCTGCTGCCTCATGTTGGGAGCTTATCCTATAATAGAGGACTTTCCTCTATAATTTAGCTTCTTTATAAATGCAAAATACAATTCTGATTTAAAGCTAGTATAGTTATGTCTTTCAACTGCCCAAGGGTTAAGTAAGAGCGTTCTATTTTTAACGGGACAGATGTTATGACACGGTCGTTACAACTTTAATTTAATATTCTATTCCATGCACGTAACGCTCTCGAATGAGATCAAGCTAATTAATTTGCGATGGCGTAGTTCTCCGTTTCCTCGTTCTCGAAATAGGCGTCGATATTGACAGCCAGCTTCCTTGCATCTACATGCTGATTTTTCTTACCTACATCCGGCGACCTTGACGTAGAGTTAAAATCGATTTCCAAACGCCAGGAATGCACTTTCTACGATCTTTCGCAATTTCAAGGAGCGGGAGCTCGGGTTCCGTTCTGTCTGCGAGAACCGCTACAACTTGACATCAATGCGAACGAGTCTTCGGCGATTTTTATCGCCGGTAATTTCTTCTCACGGTGCTATTATACGGTATAACGATGTAGCGATCACACACACACACACACCTCCCGGCAAACCTCCTCGCCTCGCCGTGCGCCAATTAATGCGCCCGGAATGCACTGACTGCGAATGCCATGCTCTGCAGCTCAAACGGTGCAAGTGCATTATATCGGCAGAAAGATAGACGCACTAGAGTAGCCTTTTAGCATTAATGGATTGAAATTTGCTTTATGCGCGTGCCGCTTTAACAAGGGGACAGAGAAACCCGTGATATTTGTCCCGATAGGTTATTATTGCCGCCGTTTCACAAAGTAAAGCAAAATTGCGTTTAACACGGGCCCCCGAAAAGCGAGAACGTAAAGTGTGCTGACTTGAAACGCACGTACTTCGAAAGACGTACTTGGTAAACGGCGGTGTTCCGGCGTTTGTAAAGATTTTCTTCTTTCTTTCCCCCCTTTTTTCCACGGAATTACCGGCGCGCGGGAAAAGTGTTAGAGAGAAACTCGAGTCCAGTTCTAATTCGATCCCAGGCCGTGCTCTCCGTTCGGTTTCTTATCAAACTTTACGTTATTTAACCCGTAACTCGGTTGACGCAAAGTCAATTTAAATGAAGAATTAAAACGCGAGCCCGTAATGCCAGCATTCTTATCTCTCTACGGAAGAAAATTGGAAGCCAAATAATTTCCTTTCCGACGGCACATCCTTACGAGATACGTTTCGCTTATTTCGCCCTATTAAAAAAATTTTTTTTTTCAAGACGAACACTGCCATGTCGCTTCCGTTTCTCTATCGAGCACGCAAATCTGCCGTGCGCGAAACATTCGCGCGGGGCGCGATTTCAAAGGGAATCCAAATCGTTATAAGCGCCACGGAAATAATGACAGATGTCCGTGCAAATGGCTCGCGCCAGGCAGATAAAAGTAAGATAAAGGTAAACGGCCGGTCGGGAAAGGCGCGGACCGGCGTGCGCGATACCATTTCAGAGGCCGCTCTTTTTTTTTCCGCGAATAACGCACCCGATCTCACGAAGGGGTCACGCTCTGGTTCGCTCGGCCTTTCGCTTTCCACTTGGCGCACGGCGGCGGCAGCGGGGGCCCGCGCATTAATTGTCAATTACTTTGCCGTAAAACCGGGCTCGCGTTGCCGTTTTAACACGGCCCGACCCGGGCGATAAAACGTTCCCGCGTTATGCGCGCGGATATGACGCTATTGTTGCGGTCTAGTCGCAACAATAGCGACGTTTTAATCTGCCGCCGATCGTGGCCTGCGGTCGCTCGCGCTGCTACTCTCGATCCCGCTTCGAGTGCTCGCGAACGGTTGCAAGCCGGCAATTACCGGCGATGACACACAATGCAGTTTTTCCCTCCCCCCCCCCCCGCTCTTCCCATTCGTTTTATCTTTGATAAGATTGAGGATTCTCCCGATGCGCGTTACGCCGAACTGTACGGTAACAGAGATCTCGCGGTTACGATCGTAATGAGAACGGAAAAGTAATGCGAGCACTTGGGTGGCCCCGCCGGTACTCGGTTGCGTTGGAAAAATAAGTATGTTATAACGGTAATAGTTCCGCGAGGATCGGACCGCTCGCACTTTACTTTCCTTCTGTTAAAGCATAGAGATCTCTTTAGGCCGCCGG